GAAGGCTTTGTTTGAGAGAATGTTGTTTGTCAACATCCATCAAATGACCCCATTTATTTTATATTGCGTGTACGACCAATTCAAGGCACCATGCCAAGTAGTTTGTGTTTTCGATAATTTTTGTATTTTCTTGAGTTTTCTCGAACAAAATAGGCTGATAAATGGGGTCTTCGTTTGAGAACTAGACCATGTTCAACGGAGGGTGTGCAGGTGCCTTCGTTTGAGAACTCCTTGCTTCTCAACATCCATAAAATGATACGATTTTTTTAATTTGTGTATATGACCAATTCAAAGCACCGTTCAAAGGTTTTTTGGTTTTCGACAAAATTTTCATTTTCTGAAGTTTTCTCGGTAAAAATGGCCGATAAATGGCGGGATGCGTCACAATTTGCATACGGTGTCAAAAATTGTTCAAATCCAACATGGATGGCTACCATGGGCATGTCGACCTGCTTGCAAAAGTTAGGGTCATTTCAAGAATGTCCAAAACTAGACCGTTCAACGGAGGGTGTCCGGATAGGCCAGAAAGCTCCATTTGCAAGCACGATGTTTCTCGACATCCGACAACTGGCCCCAATTTATATTGGCTTGCATGACCAATTAAAGGCACCATGCCAATTTTTATTGGTTTCGACTTTTTTTGCATTTTCTGGAGGTTTCTCGGTTAAAAAATCTCGATAAATGGCCCAACATGTCGCAACTTGCATACGTTGTCAGAAACCGTTAAAACCTGACATGCATGCCTAATATGGACATCCTGACTTGCTTACAAAAGTTGAGGTCTGTTCAACAATGTCAAAAACTAGACCATCTTCATCAGAGGGTTGTGTAGTTAGGCTAAAAGGCTACGTTTGAGAGCACGTTGTTTCTCAAATGGCCCCACTTTTTTTACATGGCCTTGAATGACCAATTCAAGGCACCATGCCAAAGTTTTTCACAAATGTTGCACTTTCCGTAGTTTTCTCTATAAAAACAGGTCGATAAATGGCTGGACGTGTCACAACTTGCACAAGGTGTCAAAAATCGTTGAAACCTGACATGGATGCCTACCATGGACATGCCCATCGGCTCGCAAAAGTTGGTCTCATTTCAAGTATGCACACCAATTGACCATGTTGAATGGAGTGTGTTCAGGTAGGCTAGAAGACTCCGTCTAAGATCACGTTGTTTCCCCGCATCCTTGAAATGGCCTCAATTTTTTCCATAATCTTGTATGACCAATTTAAGGCATCAAGCCAAGTTGTTTGGGTTTTTTCACAGGTTTTGCATCTTCTAGAGTTCTCCCAGTGAAAAAAGTCGATAAATGGCCTGTAGTGTCGCAACATGCTTACGTGTCGGAAGGCATTCAAACTAGGCATGGATGCCTAAGATGGGCTTGCCCACCTACTTGCAAAAGTTCGGGTCAGTCCTGAGATTTAAAAAAAATATATACTGGCCATAATATTTTGAAAATGTTAATCATGCATTTGAAAAATGTTAATTATGTACGGAAAAATTGTTGATCATGGATTAAAAATGACAAAATCTTTGGATCATGTATATGAAAATATTCATCAAGCATTTAAAAAATCTTTATAAGTATTAAAAAATGTTAACCAAGCATTTGGAAAATTTTAAATGTGTATAGAAAAAATGTTGAACATGCATTAGAAAATAAAAAAATTATCATTGTATATAAAAATGTTAATCAAGCTTTTGAATAAAAATAAGACTAAGTATTTGAAAAATGTTAATCAAGCTTTCGAGAATGTTAAATGTGTATAGAAAAAATGTTGATCATGCATAATAAAGGTAATCTTGCATTTGAGAAAATGTTGATACAATATTTGAAAAATATGAAATGTGCATGAAGAAATGTTGTGAATTCCTAGAAAATGTTAATCTTGTATTTTAAAATTGTAAATCAAGCATTTGAATTTTTTTAAAGTGTGTATAGGAAACATGTTTACCATGTATTAGAAAAATGTTAATCTTGTATTTGCAATATGTTAGTCAATCATTTATAAAATGTTAAATTTGTATAGAAAAATGTTGACCATGTATTGAAAAATGATGAATTGTTTTATTTTATATATAAAAATGTTAATCAAGCATTTGAAAAAAATCTTGAACAAGTACTTGAACAATGTTGATCAAGAATTTAAAAAATGTTAAATGTATATTTGAAAAATGTTGACCATGTATTCAAAAAATTATTTCAAAACATGTATTTAAGAAAAATGTAGATGGTGTATCTGAAAATGTATACTATGTACTGAGAAAACCTACCCGAAAAAAGAGAATGAAGAAAACTGGAAGAAAGCAAAAAAAAGAAACAAATAAACCCAAGTAAAAAAACAAAAAACAAAGAAACCCAAGTAAAAAAAACTAAGTATAAGGAAGAAAACTGATAAAAAAAAGAAAATTGTATTATATCAAATAAAAGTAAAATTGAATAAAATTGATGAAGAAATAAAGAAAATCAAAGAAAAAAAATGAAAGAAACAACCAAGGTGAAAGAACCAGCAAAGAAAACACGAGCGATCGAACGAATGGGCCTGGCCCAGTACTGTAGTGAGGGGGTAGATTCTTCAACGAGAGCTCCTTCCATCGCGCTTAATGCGAGATATAGCTCTTGTGATGATTCCACTGCTAACTGCGAACGGTCATGCCGCTAGGATAAATTGGTCCAAGTCATCCATTGGGTCTAGCCCTGCACATTTTTGGAAAAAGGGCGTTGGCCCATCATGGACTATGAGACTACAACACGAATTCTTGTTGTATTGTACTCCCTCCGTCCGGAAATACTTGTCATCAAAATGAATAAAATGAGATGTATTTTAGTTCTACTAGCAAAAGAGCCCATGCGTTGCAACGAGACAGAAAAAATACACGCTCTTAACCCAATGACCACGACTCGAGACCCTGATAGGTAGACGTTCTTTATTTAAAATGGCATCACATTTGTGTTCCTGACGGTGGTCTCACTGCTCACACAATGAAAATGCATTTGAATGTGGTCAGTCCTAACGCGTCTCACACACACACACACGCGCGCGCGCGCTCGCACGCACACAATCGCTCAGAATAAGATGAGAAAAGTGTTGTTTTTTCCCGCGAGGTTTTTCAGAGTTGTGTATGCGTGGTTATCAATGTTTTTTCCCACTCAATCTAGTTTTAATGTGTGTTTATTTGCAATTTGGATCGCCGCCGGTGCGAAAGAAAAATGGACCGTGCACTATAGATTAAGTTTGCACCCAAATTAATAGTTTAGAAATATTTAACAGCTAAAAGTAACAACATATTTAGATTCTACACATATTTCTAATGAAATTTCATATATAATATGTTAAAATCGAAGTTACGGTTTAAAAGATATGAATAATTTTGTTTTAGATAAACTGCGGATTGATTAACCAAAAGGTTAGGGGGTTTTCTGTTAAAATATAAAAAACGATTCGTATGACTTAAATATGGACGGCGGGTTGATTACCTGAAATTTCAGGGGGTTTTCTAATGAAGTTAAAAAAACGGTTCGGTATGACTTATAGATGGACTGCGGGTTGATTTCAACAAACTGTAGGGACTTTTTTGTAAATAGAGGTGACGGACGACGGAAACCCACCGTGCTTTATTATTAGGTAGAGATATATATTCCTTTTTGTCCATTTTGATGACAAGTATTTTCAGACGAAGGGAGTCTCACGTAACTTCGACTGGTGTAGTGGTTACGACATGGAGGCCCTTGAGTTTGGTGGTTCAGTTTTATTTTGTAGTACTATATATGACCATCATGCCCTTTGCCATCAATGTGTTAAGGGGGTTGTACCGAAACATAAGCCATTATGTTCAGGGGTTGTGTACCGAAACAGAAGTGTTTGTTACAACACCTGGTGATGCAAGCACACGATGCAGGGAGGTCTGTGGCGCTCGTTGTCCCTCTTGTCCTCCGCGCATGGTTGTGTAATCTCTACTATTTAAAAAGAACGCAAAGTTCACATTTCACCTTTCTTTCCGTCATACCTTCGTCCAACCTTCCATGTATATGATAATCAATCAACTTAATTACTTACCTTTTGAACCAAATTCACTTCAATTTACTTACCAAACTTTTAATCAAAATATAAGGTAATTCACAGTTAGACTTTGACAAAGATTTATTTACACAATCGTATTATTATTGATAGGTAAATCACATGCTAACATATTAGAATATTTATATCTCGTTGCAACACATGGGCGTTGTTCTAGTAGTTTGGAGAAAAAGACAACGCGGGGTAGGGACGAAGATCCCGATCTGACGGTTTGGAGGGCAAGGCATAGTGCGCGATTGGAGTGCTGCACCCGACCGACTGAAATTTGGGTCGGCGCCTAGCATCCATCTAGACAGAGGACTGAAATTTACGTGATGAAATTTCTTGATGTAAGTTGATGTTAGTCTCGATATCCATTGTGTCTGAGCAAATCGCAACGCATGGAGACACCAAACCTCGCACCTGGGGTCATTTCGAAGTAGCAAAACCGTGGAAAATTACGATTGCTTTCTAGCTGCAAGGTTTGGCGGGGTTTACGAAAGATGACGAGGAGTGGAGTGGAGTGGAGTGGAGTGAAGTGCAACACGAGTAGTATGTACTGTTGAAGTATATTGCCCTCGTCTCTCCATCAGTTCGGACTTTTGGATAAGTTGGTCGGATGCGGGCAATATACTTCAACACCCCCCTCACGTCTAGGCTTATTTAGCTCTTAGACGTGGGATTTATGTAGGCCGCAGAATTTTTTTTTTAATACTGCGTTGGCAGGGTCTTAAACTCAAGACCTCTTGGCTCTGATACCATATTAAATTCATACACCGACCAACTTATCCAAAAGTCTGAACTGATGAAGAGACGCGGGCAATATACTTCAACATGTACATTACAAGAGGAAGCAGCAGCAGCTGCCGAAATCAAATCATGCAACCTTCGCTAGTGCAAGACACAACCACACCATTTTTCCCTTGCTGGCAACGTGACGCGACGGCCATGGTGCCGATGACAGCGGAGTCGATCCTCCACCTGGAGCAGTGCCAGCTTCGTCCACCAGACCACCGCAGATGGTGGGGACTTGCGGCGGCGGCCCTGCTCCGCCTGCTGTTTGCCGTTGGCGCTCTCCATCTTTTGTTGTTCAGCGTGCCGCAGCCGGAGCCCGTCGCGCTCACCCTCCTCGCAGGCGCACAGGAGAAGGTAGCATTGTGCTTGGATGGAACCCCGCCGGGGTACCACCTCCAGAGAGGCTCCGGTGATGGCTCCAACAACTAGCACATCCATTTGCAGGTACGTGCAATCCATCCTTCCAATGTTCCCTGAATCTTTTTTCCCTCTATATACATGGGACCCATTGGTTAAACCTGACCAGTGGGCCCATGGCGGGAGAAGAGGGCGCCGTCGACTGGATAAACCTGACCTGTGGGCCCATGGGACCCACTGTCAGTGACCCAACGCTGTACCGCTTCGTCTTATGTGAAGGTGCCGTCTTACCGAAGCGTTTTCGTTTTTGAGTTAAAAAAATCAGATTTTTGACTGAACTTTAACTTCCCCTAATTTTTAAACGGCAACTCCAAATGAATTGATTCTTTTCCTGGCATTCTTCATTTTCATCTAGTATATTTCGGTATTTATTTAAAAAAATTCCAAACAACTTTTTTGTGCTGTTTTGGATTTATGTGGTAATTGCATTATTTTGAAAATAGGAAAATGGAGGGAAGATAATTTTTACAATATTACGGAGTGAATCAACCTTTCTGGATATCCAAGGCAAACATCTTGAACACTTGATATGATGATTGCTTGGTTGATTGCTTGCTAGAATATTAAAACATGTTTAGGTTAATTCAAATGAATTTGCAAAGTTGATAATCATGCATGTATGATGACTAGCTAATGTTTTGATTTCACTTAAACATGTAACATCTGTGGATGTGGTTATTGCCTCATGCCACACATGCTTTATTGGATCAAACCAAGTGCTATCCAGACACGTAAGATGAAATTGACACATGGACATGACACATAAGCAAAACTTAACACATAGACATGACACATAGGAAAAACTTGATGAGGTGGCACTCAGTCATATCAATGCATCCATGTTTACAGCGTCATGACCATCTAGATTGGTCCTAATCAGCTAGAAATAAGGCTGTTGACCACTACTGCCTGCTTTATGACCATTTCGTATAAGGCAATTACAACCTTCCTGACCAAATGGTCGTTATGGTTTAGGGTTTGGACCCTCCCAAACAGCTTACGACCAGTTGGTTTCAAATGGTCGTAGATTTACGACCAATTCACCCAGGTCACTAATAGAAGGTCACAAGTTGACATATTTCTTGTAGTGACAGCGGTGACGGATCATCCATGCTTTGTCGAGCTGCCGTTGTTGGCATTTTTTTTCCTTTCTCTTTTGGGCTTGATGTGTTGTTCGCCCCAGCAATGTCGTTGTGATCGTTGGAAGTTGCTTTATAATATAAAGCGGGTGAAACACTTTTTCAGCAGGTTACTGCTGTTATGGGTGTGTTCATGCCGTTGCTGATACTGTACTTGCGTGCGCACATATCCATGAAGGTAAGCATGATTACTTCTTTGCTAATTACCCCACGTACTTATCCAATAGATCCTTGGTAAGAGATAAATATCAAACCAGATTGACTACAAACCCAATTGCTATACTCTAACCAGAGTACATAAGAACAATGTGTAAAATTCTTGCCTCCTCTAATCAGAGATTCAGAGTACATGTTTGAATTTCTTTTTGTTAGGATTTCACCAAGGTCGATTGGTTTATTTCCATTTGCTTATAGTTAAACTTTCTTTCTACTATTTATTTTTGTTACTATTGAACATGTAAACCACGGGACAGGAGTTTATCGAATTTAGCTTCTACTAATGCCTGCTAAAAATTCCCGTAGCAACGCACAAGGTGTCATCTAGTTTTTATAAAGTGGGATCACAATATGCAAATATTCTCATCAAACTTAAAAAAAGAAATTTTGACTGCATGGGTTCCAAATTTTAGAAACCAAATCATTGGGTCTGCCGTGCTCGCAAACTTCATGGAAATGGATGATAAAGTTTCTGAAACATTAACTTTCAAAAGTTTCATGGACAGTTTTCAGAAATTTGAGGATGAATTGTGAGAGATGGAAATTTTCACGCATTTTGTGAAAAACCTATCTGTAGGAATTGCGAAGTAGCATTTTGGATACTAGTAGTTAGTTAGCTAGCGTAGTGCGTGGAGTTAGTGGTTACTGGAGTACGACGTGACACCGTGCGTGGTAGCTGGTGTGCGTGCGTGAGTCTCGTGTACGTGTTATTTAAGTGATCAGATGAATGAGAAAAAGTTTAGGCCGTGAGGGCTGAGGAAAAATGTAGCCTATGCGGTATTCATCGGGAGACAAGGCAAATCTAGCTTTGTCCTTGATGAAGTGTGTGTGTATATTCGTGAGAGAAGAAGAGAGAGTTGTCTGAGGCAACGTGAGGAAGAACAAGGGAGCGAGGAGCAGCTCCAACAAAAGGTACGATTGCTTTCCAGCTGGAAGATTTGGCGGGGTTTACGAAACATGACGAGGAGTGGAGTGAAATGCAACACGAGACTGTGTATTTTAGAAGAGGAAGAAGCAGCAGCTGCCGAGACCAAATCATGCAACCCCTGCTAGTGCAAGACACAGCCACACCATCTTTAGCTTACAGGCGACGTGACGCGATAGCCATGGACATGGTGCCCGCTTCAGCGGAGCCGCTCCTCCACATGGAGCAGCGCCAACTTCGTCCATCACACCACGGCGGATGGTGGGGACTTGCGGCGGCGGCCCTGCTCCTCATGCTGCTGGTCACCGTTGGCCCTCTCCGTCCTATGCTGTTCGGCGTGCCGCTGCCGGAGCCCGTCGCGCTCACCCTCCTCACTGGCGCACAGGAAAAGGGTGCTGTGTGCTTGGACGGAACCCCACCGGGTTACCACCTCCAGAGAGGCTCCGGTGACGGCTCCAGCAGCTGGCACATCCATCTACAGGTACGTACCATCCAGCCACATCCAATGTTCCCTGCATCTTTTTCCCTCTATATATCCTTTTTTTTGCGAAATCCCCTCTATATATCAAAAGACATGCATGATGGGAATGTTTAGCAAGTTGAATCAAGGAAGGGAAATTAGTTGATGGACCTGTATGTTTTTTTCAACAACCAAGGGAGGAGGCTGGTGCGGCACAGTCAACGATTGTTCCAATCGTAGGATGTCTGATCTCGGTTCCTCTAAATTCATGAAACCAATACAGTTCGCCGGCACTGGAATCCTCGGCAGTGATCACCTTCAAAATCCTGGTAATCACAGATACTTCTCTTCCACACACCAGTCCATATATCTATTTAATTTGTTCCATTTTTTCATGTCCTTCTCCCTGTTTGCCTGAATATTTAATACTTCCTGCTATGCCTTTGCACTAATTGTCATCAGCATGTTATTAGATTTCTACAATTGGAACAAAGCCTACGTGCGATACTGCGATGGAGCTTCCTTTTCAGGGGATGCGGAAGGTCAAGCACAGGTGATTTTTCTGGATTCTGATATATATGATGTCGCTGTTTCGGTTGCTTCAGGAGATGTTTTGTTCGTAATGGTGTAGGATGGAACCATACTGCACTTCAGAGGATTGCGTATCTATCAAGCGGTTATTGACGAACTAATGGAAAACGGACTCGCCAATGCTACACAGGTCATACTTAATTTACTGGGCTAATATAAATTGAGCAAGAGCCATTAGTACAAAAGTTGCATTCTGTGCTACAAATGTTAGTTGTCAACAAGAACCATGTAAAACTGTTTTTTTTTCATATTTCTACGCATTTCAGGCCATCCTTACAGGTTGTTCTGCTGGTGGTCTAGCAACGATAGTGCATTGCGATGATTTTAGTGCACGATTTTCTCACAAGGTTTCGGTTAAATGCCTTGTTGATGCTGGGTTTATTCTTGACGTGTAAGACTCTTGAAAATAAAATAAAAAAGTAACCCACTAGCATGGTATCTGAACTAAAAGTGCCACTTTTTTCTAACAGAAAAGATATATCTGGACAAAGGTCCTTCAGATCTCTCTATGGTGGTGTCGTTCACCTCCAGGTTAGCCATTGGACTTGCTTAATACTTTAATAGCCTGCCTTATTTTGTAACCAAGATTTCTGGTTATCTTTCCCCCCTTTTTGCACTTCTCTAAAACACGACTTTTAGAAAAGGCTTTGTAAAACTCTTGAGTTTGCAAGTGGTTAGTTGTGCAACAGTCGGTAAAACACACAATATTTTTCTGTCCATGTGATGATACCACTTTGTACTAAATGCCACTGAGTTTCTTCTGTATCTCACAAATTTTGCTAATTTATTTAGAATGTTAGACAAGTGTTGCCCAAGGACTGCCTTACCAACAAAGAGCCAACTGAGGTAGTTTCAACTGAATAACTTGATATGCTTCGCACTCTTAAGCATGCCATCAGGTTATGCTAGTAAGTTCGTTAGCTGAAATAATTGTGTTCCTAGTGTTTCTTCCCTGCGGAGCTTATTAAGAGCATCCACACCCCCATGTTTATTGTCAACTCTGGGTATGATCCAGCGCAGGTAATTTTAAATTTTCTTCTTCTCGTTCTTATTTCTACTCCTCCATTAAAAGTTTCACCATTTAATCGCTTATCCTTCGCCATAGATAAGAAATGTGATCGTACCAGCTTCGTCGGCTCCTGATAAGTCGTGGTTGAGTTGCAAGGATAATATCCGGAACTGCAATTCCACACAAATTGATGTTCTTGATGGTTAGCTTAGCTTGCCAATTTTTCACTCTCATTAAGCATCAATGTTTTTCCCTATTTGTGAAACTCTAAATATTCTTCTACCGCGTCGATAGGACTAAGGACCACGATGGCTGATGCATTAAAGGTTGTTAAAGATAAAGAGGACTGGGGATTTTTCATCGACTCATGCTTCACTCATTGCCAAACGGTCCTTGACGTCTCTTGGAATTCACATAATTCCCCGAGGCTTGGAAATAAAGTAGGGGGTTCGAAATCCACAATAAATCACATTATTTGCTACCCATGTTGTTTCTTGGATTGATATTGTTTCACTACCATCTTATATATGGAGCAGACCGTTGCAGAAGCTGTTGGAGATTGGCACCGTGGAAGGACGCAAGGAGTGAAAGAGGTTGACTGCAAGTATCCGTGCAACCCAACATGCAATAGTCAGTCACCTTTATGATTTGTTATTACATTGCATTGGTAGA